AACCAGACGATGAAATTCCACTTAACGAATGGTTAGAAAAGTATAAAGACTCTGACTACGAGTATGACACAGACGAAGATGTTCCAATGTTGTCGAAGAACAAGTTAAAACCAATTTGAGTGATTTCAATTTCTTCGAATATGTGAGCATTGATAATGGCGTTCTTACAAGAGAAATGTTGACCGATGAGCAAATTATACGCCGTAACCTCATCTACAGCTTTAAGCGATAATGAGAAAGATGACGATTTAGGTGAAACGTACAAACAAAAATTACAGACTTTATGAAATAGATTTCAAATTTAATTTTGTTTATCTTTTTGTGTTCTTTTTAGACATACCTACTAACTTCTACTACTCTATGTAAAAATAACGAAATAAAATACACCACGTGTTTTTGTATTATTATTCACTTATAGCGAACTCCGGATATAACGAACCAGTTTTAGTTCATTTTCCAACTTCGTTATATCCGGACTCAACTGTAATTCGTATTTTTTAATACCTATTAGAGTGAGTTACACTATAAAGAAGTTTCTTACGTTGCCTTTAACCTTGTACGGAGTTTCAATTTTTAAGTTTTTTCAATAAAAAATAATATTTACCCAGTTTAATGTCAAAAAAGATTAAGTTTTTCTGCAAATCTACTAGTTCTAGCCGTTTATCAAGCAGTTGCTCGTATTTTTCAGCTGTTTCAGACCTGGTTAGAGCTTGGATTTGCATTGTTAGTCGACGTCTAGTAGATGCTAGTACAGTAGTTAGTAGCATAGAACAAGGCTTATATATATTATATATTATAGGTCAGTGGTACACATATATGAAGACAAGGAGTACACAATAAAATAACCAATATATTAATGGCCGCGTTGCTGCGAAAGATCATGTGAAATAAAATTCGATAATCATGAATATAGCAACCTAAGCCAAAAAAGCGGAGGTGCCATAGTGATTCTCTGATTAACTAACAGACGATTAGTTTGTTAATCAATCAGTGTTTAGCTAATCAGTGTTTAAAGCGAGAACGGTGCAACCGGGGGTTAGCGTTCCCCTAAGTCAGTGGTGGGCAAAGTGCGGCTCCAAGCAGATTTGGGCCCCAGTTTTTTAAATTGCTGTAATGTTCATATTTGGCTGTTTGGCTAACAAGTTTGCCGACCACTGCCCCAAGTGAATTCGATAATCTGTTTTTCTAGCCTTGAAACAGACCTTAATAAAGCGTGGAAAGGTCGGTAATTTTTAGAGTATAAACGGAGTTTTCCTATATCCAAAGAGCCCCGAAGATGCAAACTCGCCGTTTACAACCAAAGTGTAGAACAGGTGATGACCTTTAAATATCTTGGAGCAAACATCACGAGTAACAGGAATCTAAGGGAGGAAGTAAGGGATCAAACATCAAAAGCAGCTCTAACATCGGGGTACTTGCGAGAGATCATCTGGAGAAACAAGCACATGAGTATAGGGAGTAAAGTCAGAATCTACAAAACTTGCGTGAGACCAGTGATGACATACGCCGCAGAAACAAGAGCGGAAAACACAACAACCAAACGCTTGCTAAGAACAACAGAAATGCGAGTCCTAAGCTCCATAACAGGACACCCACTATACGATATGAAAAGGAGTGAGGAAATTAGAGATACCTGTAAGGTTTCGGATGTTGTAAGATGGACCAGAACAAGGAGAAGAGCGTGGAGAAACCATGTAGAGAGAATGGCAAAAATTGCCAAAAACCAAAAACCTAACAGCTCAAGACTATCAGGAAGACCACCGAAGCGATGGTACGAAAGCTGGACATCAGCATCTCAGGACTAGGAAGTTGAAGAAACGGAGTTTTCCAACTCCAGAAATTGAGAAGTTTTACTCACTTCAGGTCAAAGTCCTTGAGGCCCCACAGGGCGGAAATGGGGCCGCCCCATGTCGAGCTGGTCAACAGCAGCTCCCCCGTTCGGTTGGGCTCCATGTGCACTATGTAGTTGTCATGGGCGGAGAACGAGTGCTCCTCATTCCCGGTGAACTTGTCGTAGATGTGAATGTCGCCGTTGTAGTCGCCCACAATGATCGAGTTTCTGGCCGGCAGGAACTTGGCGCAGGTGAAGAACCCTTCCTCCGTGTTGGAGCGAATGGTCTGCACCGGGCAGAACCTGGAATGCAGGAACCGCCGATCCATGGACCGCGACTGGTAGCCCATCTCCCTGCGTGCATGGCGCATGGCGAAATTGATCGGCACCAATTTTCGCTTCGGGTCTGGACACTTGTGGGGCGCGAACAGATTGAACTGGGGACAGGTGGCCATCGGGTTTTTGCACAGTGCATGCTGATTGATCAGATACTCGGTAATGATCGAGTCGAGGGTGATTCGAGGGGGGTCGTGCGGCTCTTCAGGCGGCGGCAAAATCGGGCGCACCACAGGCTCATTGTAGATTTGCTTCTGCAGGCGCAACTTTTGCACCGGCGTGGTGGCGAGCTGCGAATGCACGGGGGTTTTCTTGATCAGCTTTATCGGGCCGATGGTGGGCGTGGATCCGTTTGCCGCCGGTTCACTGCCACTTGGCAATACGGACAAAGCGCGGACTGTTGAGGGCGACGAGAATGACAATCTAGTCCTAACTGGGGTCAAGTTGGTGGTGTACCGGAACTTGGTGGGGTGTTGCGCCGACAGCGACATTATCGCGTTGCTCAGTCCAGCTTCCTTCACCAGACTGGACGCTGTGTCTATGAACCCCTTGGTGACCAAGTGCTGGTGGATCAGCTGCAGCAGCTGTCGGTCGTTGAACTGTATCTTAGTCTGCGCCACCACATTGGCCTTATGGATACGATGAATGTTCGCTAACGACACCTCCAGGTCATTGGCGCCGTGTTTGGTTTTTCCCGAGAGTCTTTCCAGTAACTCGATGGCGTACTTTTGGAACGCTACATGCTCCTGGCGCTTCTCTTGCAAAATGGGGTCGCGCATCAGGTTCTGCAACTCGCCGCTGGTAAAAAGCGGCAGCTTCGATACGATCTGCCTTACAGTTTCGCATCTGGCCAACCCGGCCAGGCCTTTGCAAGCCAACGTTCGGATGGAATCAGCGTCTGTAATCGGTGTCTTACAGTTCATCAGCTGGATCAGGACCAAGATGCCGCTATTCGAGCGCACGCAGTCCCACACCTTCTGAATCAGCTCCTCCGAGCTCTTGTACTTGGTTTTCTTGGACGGGGAGCTTGTCGAACCATGCGAGAGCCGCATCGCAGACCCTCCGAGGCGCTGAATCGGCGCACAGACAGAATTCACCAGCACTCTTAAGGCGGCCTTTTCCACGTCCGAGTCGCGAACGATGTCGCCCTCTGCCGCTCCAACCACTATGCTGAATCCCACCGTTAGTCGCTCTTCCGGCAGATCGACCTTTTCGCACAGCAATGCCAGCACTTTGGGCATCACACACGCAATGGCTAGAACTTCAAGGGCCGATCGCACAATTTCCCCTCTGCCGCCGTAGTTCCACTCGTAGGCGAACGCGATGATCTTGAGCAGCAAAGTGATATCGCCCAGCTTCAACAGCTGATCTACTGGCGCCCAATGGCATCTGAACGGCATTCGCTCCAGGAGAAGCTCGATATTTTGTTGAATTTCTTCGGGAGACGATTTGCAGGGCTGTTGGAGAAAATCGATTACTTCTACTGTCGCTGCGAGCGCTAACAAACACTCACCTTATATGGAGGCAGAACTGCTCCCCCGCTCGGCCGGGATTGAGCTCGGTTGAGCGCTGCTGCCTTCAGATACAAATGAGCCTCCAGGTAGCGGCGATATGCCACGCACACATGCCTGACAATCTGGCGAGAAGCGCACTCTTGGTCTTCGTTCATTTGGCCAGTGTCACGCTCTGGCTGCAGTATCGACAAAGTTGAAATCTACAAAAGCCACAGGAGTGATTAGACCACAGGGTCCGAATAATAGCTTTTTTCGCGGTAGCGATTCAGCTTCAGAGCCGATCCTTTTCGTTCCGCGAACGCTTTTAGAACAATCTTTTAGGCCGAAAGTAGTACCAACAGGATTTTCGTTACTTTGTGCCTAACAGTAATCTCCCTACACGGAAATGCAATGGAGTGAAAGTGAAAATATGGAATTGCTGCGTTTTTGATTATTTTGAATAAAAAAGAATTATTCATGTTTTTGCAAACGCAAGATGCTACATCTGCTGTATATGACCTGCATTTTTTTGTACATTTACCGCTGGTGGCACAATTGGTACCACCGACGTCCTTTTGCCTGCATCCCGTTCCTTAATCCGAATTTATGGCTTTGTTTCCATTCACCCCGAGGCGAAAAATTGCTAACATCTGTAGGCAATTGCAAGTTTACTTTTACATTGGCGGTCTGATCAAAATTAGTTAATTCAATGCGATATAAACATAACAAACTTAATAATTCTTAAACTTAATAGTGATTTACAAATTATTATAAATACAATAAAATTTCATTTTTCAAAAGAGCAACTAAACGCCAAATTAGAGAGTGGAAAAAATGAATCTGCTGAAAACCCGTGGTTCTAAAACAGGTCAACGATACGTTCTCGCGAGAGCGTGATGGGATCACTTGAGAATACACTTTTGCGCAATAGGGTGTTT